CTCTGTGTTTCACCCCCTCCTCCCATCCAATCGAACCTATTTCACCACGGACCTCACGGTTCAGACGAGCGATTTCTGTCTCTAGGAGAAGCCTAGCTCTCTCTGTCTCTCTCCCCTCTGAGTCACTGTTCCACTCGAGAGATTAAACGTGTATCAGATGATACGAGATTCCGTGGAATTGAATGTGCCAGAGGCCGTTGCCTCCGCTCCCCCGCCGATATAACGGAGGGATTATTCTGTTATTTTATCGGGGACTCGGGATCGAATGCCGCGTCGGGGGTTGGACAGGAATCAGGGTGTGGTAGCGAGGAAGAAGTGGGCGTCCATATTTCGGCCAGATACGAATTTCGTTCGAACGTACTGTATATCCAAAGTGTATACCCATAAGCGTGAGTTACGCCACATAGTTTGTAAGTGAATCTTACGAAATAGGGGAATTAACAATTGCGCTCCAGATCGGTGAACCGGCGAAGAATAATTTCAACGTTATTTACTTTCGAATATTGCGATAACAATCGCGAGACAGCGTTAACGTACGATGAAAATAAAAGATTCGAAAAATTCTTCTGAGCCAAAATGCCATATCTCGTTCGAATCCTCGTTGCATCTCCGAACCCCCCTCGAAACACCTCGTTACCCGCCAATCATCCGACAATTACGTTTACACTTGGTGGTTAGGGACCGGTTTCAAGAAGGGATTTTGGCTGATTAACATGGCGGGGTATCGCGTGTTCGAGGGCCTAGACGATAGGTGTTACTATATACCACCACCACCCTTTGTACCTTCCGGGCATCCTCGAGGAGCAAAGAAAAAGAAAAAGGGGAAAGGTAAAGGGTATCGATCCCTCGTTTGCGAGACGAAACTAGTGGTTTTTTTATTTTTTTTTTTTTNTTTTTTTTTTTTCTTTTTTCATGGACGAACACATAAGAGCGATTATTGGTGAAGGGTTCCTCTCGAGAGGGGCGGTGGTTTGTGTGTTTAACGCTGACACGAGCTCGATGATTTATGGGAGATACGGTAATTACACGGGGCGACGTGTTGTCGGCTATGGATAGTTTTAATCGCTTCGCTATTGGGATCGAATTATTGAATACGAATGCGTGGAACCCGCCACCATGGTTCATTTCTTTTTCTCTCTCTCTTTCTCTATCTTTATCGCGTTCCTTCGGCTCTCGCAACGCTGCAGGCAATAGGAATATTTTCAGGTCTATAAATTAGGATGTGTACACGAATGAAATTCGGTATGTTTATAATAAACGAAGATATTGAAGATACAATATTAAATTCATATATTGGTTGTCGATTATTTTTTTGAACGTTTATTGCTCGATCTGTTTTAACATCAATTATATACGAATACTTTATTTCAGGGGAATAAATTGTTTTATAAATCCTTTGCAAACGCGTACTCTCTCGATAAATTTAGAAGAATATTTTCTATTATAAGGAATAGAGGAAAATATATTGTGTAAGTAGAATTAAATTTTCCAGAGAAAATTGCAATTTAAAAATTAACATACGTGTGAAACTCGAATATAGAGTTTCGAATTTTATCTAAATATTGGCCGGAGAGAAGAGAGAGAAGAATTGTTTACGCGTTTCGAATTTTCATAGGAAAAGGGAGGGAAGGGAAAGGAATCGAAGCATCGGTACGTGCAACCGCCGATATGGGTTGTCGCATCCTTGGGAAGATAGCGAGATCACGGAACCGAGACCAGAAGAATGGGGTTCGAAAATAGTGTCGCGGATCTGTTTTCGTGCGAAACTAGCTGGCTCGGCAGATGCGTTCCAGCGGTAGCGTCGGTGAATATGGTCCGCGTGATAAGAAACGTGCTTCGATTTAATACCGGAAAGATTCTGCGATTTCCGCAGAAATCAGCCAACTGGCCGATTCCGATATGATGTTTTACCACTCTGGTTGCTCCCGTTGTTCAACAACTCGCGGAAAACATAGCTTCTATTCTGTTCCTCCGCTCTAACGTGTTCCTTTATCGCGAATTTCTCTCTTTCTTTCTTTCTTTCTTTCTCTCTTTCTTCTTTTATCCACTCGAAGAGACATCCATTCCTTCTCGAATTTCGAGTGGAAAATTTTCATGAAAATCATTTTCGTACGTTCCATGGAGCTAATATCGATTAATTTTTTCCTGAAACATTTGAAGATATATAATATCTTCGAGATATATATTCGACTTTTTTTTTTTTCCTACATCTCTAAAACAAATTTTAAAATTAATTAGCCCAGAGAAAGATCCAACAGACATTATTATATATACACAACCGAAGCCAATTACCTCGAGCATAACGATATCCCTTATATATTATTCTTTAATCTCCATTACAAAATTACTTTCACTCAGGATTTAATTCTCGTGAAAGTAAGGCGTGTTTCACCGATGTCAATTAAAAAATACGCGATGAGAAATGTCGGAAACGTTCAATCTGTCAAAGACCGGCGGCACGCCGGTAACAGTGGCCGGGATATTGACCACCGAATGGATAAACGATTTTTTTTTTTATTCGTCGCGTCTTCCTCCCTCTCCACCCATCCCCCTCCCCTTCATTGTCCGTGTCTGCACACCGATCGTTTCATTGTTTCGAGCACGGATAAAGTGAAAACCGTAGCAGGGAGCCTACTAACTCCATTTCAACGGTCCGCGATTCCGTTGAATCGGACACCCTCCCCCTGGCCTGGGGGAAAACCAAATAAAATTGTCCACCGATATTCACATTACCGTGACGATTGGCTTTCCCCATCCCCCTTCCGCCTTTATTCGTTACCTGCTCGGGAGGGGGGAAAAAAAAAGAAGAAAGAGAAAAAAAGTTAATCGTCACCAACGATAATTCTATACGAGCCACACAATCGGCGTAAAAAGAAATTAATTTCATCGTAATTAACGGATATAGGAGGGTATTCCCCGTCGAACGGTTCATTAATCCATTTTTGCTCGTTATCCCCGCCCCTGGGATACCTGATGCCGCGATAAATAAACGAGACGTTTGCGAGATTTTTTTTTTTTTTTTTACTCGATCNTTTTTCACTCGATCGATTCTTGGATCACGTGCCTTGGATATATATCGAGGATGGAAACGAATTTGGAGAATAATATGATTATCTCTTGGAAGCGTGAAAAATCATTAGATCGGAGGATAGGGTTATACAAAATACGACAAGGAGAGAGACAAATATAATAATCGTTTCTCCAAGCAAACAAAAGTTCCTCTAACTTTTCTCTAATGAGAAATTAATCGTTCCAAATAGACTTGGTAAGATGAGATAAAATTATCTCAACGTTAAATAATTTATTAGCCTCTGTCTTAAAAATTTAGTTGCAAACTTTACCAAAAAAAAAAAAAAAAGAAAAGGATCTTTTAAACACGTGTCAGGCTTCTTTTTTCTCCCCGCTAACCGACGATGGCTAGATGTCGGACGAGGAAATTTAACGAAACCCATGAAAAGAATCAACCGCTCGTGAGACAGTCGCGAAGGGACTTTAAAGAGGGTTTCAGTAGCGTGTCGTCCAGCGACAGAAATCGCTTGCTTCGTCGGGCAGCCGATTCACGAGAGTGAAAAAGAGAAGAAAGAGAGAAGGTTCCGCGCTAGAGAGATCGAGGCCCTCGATAACCCAACATCTTAGTAATGTAGCTGTCAGATCGTTTAATTAAGGAATCTTAAAGAGTATCGCCGGTTGCTCGATCCAAGTGATAGGACTGACATTAGGGGACACGACGAACGATCTTGTAGGGGGGGCAGCGTTCGAAAACGAAAAGTTATTGCTCGATCCTTCTCCGATCGATGGTAAATTCATCCGATCCGAAACATTCGATTAAAGAACACGCGCGCGCGCCATTCCGCGCGCTCTTTGAATTGCTCGAACGATTCGAGCTTGCTTTCGATTCGAGGGATGGGAAGATACGTTTCGATGCTCGTTTTCTACGAGATTGTACGAGAAGATCGCATCCGTATAATAGTGATCGAGATAGAGATAATGGAGGGAGATAGATCCTTTCTAACTATTTAAATTTCTCTTCTTCGTATAACGAGGGAACGTGTTTCCTTCTTCGAGTTTATTACGTGAATAAAATTTAAAAATTATTCGTTATAAATGTAACGAGTATAATTTAAATTTTTGGAAGAATATCCATCTCTTCGAAGTAACCGAAATGGCGTGGAGCATACAGCGTGCATTTTACAAAAGCATTATTACCAAAGAGATTTTACCAAAACCATTAATTCAAATGGAAAGTATCGCGAGCTAGAATCGGTGGCTGGAATATTTGTTGCGCGCATAGGATGATTGATAACCCAAAGAGAATCGGGGCGACGTTCCAAGACTAATGATCTCTTTCGACGTTCCTTCCAAAAGAGTTATTTTTCCCAGCTTACTCTATCTTATCGCGGCCAGTCTCTCCCCGTTACGCGTAGCTTGTTTAATAATCAAACCGCTACTTTATGCGGGATACATCGTGGAAACTGCACGCTGTGTCGAGCTTAATCAAAATTCTATCGCTCGGGGCATTCGTAAACTTTCCCAAAGCGTAATAAACCGGTTCTGTTCGTTTTTCTTAAATCGTGACTTATTCGTCACGGAGAGAACATACACGCGAACGTTACGCGATGCAAATATTTCCGTACAATTGTTTCCTTTTCTTTTTCCTTTTTTTTTCTTTCTTTCTTTTTTTTTTTTTTTTTTTATGGAAGATTTCCACAAGGTTTCATTTTTTGAAAAAAGAAAAAACGCGTATCAGGGTTTAATAGGATCGCTCTTATTTGAGGAGGACGAGGAAAGAGGTGGATTTTAAAAAACGTAGTGGATTTAAACTTTTATACGTATAAAATTTTATACGCGTAATGTAATTACACGATATATCATATATTTATTTTCTAATATCAAATATTTTATATTCATATTTGCTTAATAAAGTGAGATTTATCTTCGAAATATAATACGGAACGTATTTTAAATCTATCTCAAAATGCTTGGCAGGGTTAATAAATATAATTCAACAAATCTCGTTCGCTACTATTTACTCCACTCTTTCAACGATATAATATTCGAACAATAAATAACACTGAAACCTTTAAATTCATAACGAAATACGAGTAAAATTTTTAAAAAAAAATCTTAATTATACCGTACAATCTAAAATGCAAAACTTCTAAAGCTAAAAAGAAGAATCCATGTTTGAACTGTGGGATTTAAAAAGGATAACATCCATCTATCCTCCCTCCCTCGCCCCGTTGATAAATCGTTCGCGGTCCAACGAAGAGAAAAGAAACTGCAAAAGAAAGAAACTCCATTAAGAAAAAAAAAAATATATCAATTTTTCGGTAATTTAAACCGAGATCGTTTGAAGGGGTGAGCGGAACTATCGCGTATCAGCCCGCTTATTATTTCAAAGAGAGGCGAACTACGGCGTTATCGTTATCCATCCCCGTGATACCCGACGTATAATAAATTTCGCGAAGGTCCATTGCTACGAGATAAACGGCAACTTATCCTCGTCCCTCGAAAGATAACTCTTGGACTCGTAGCTCGAAGCGCCGCGCCGCTTAACACGGAGCTCCCCGGAGCGAGATGTTAAGAAAAGACAGGTGGTAATATGCTAATCGAGGCCTGCCTTCATCCCTTAAAAAAAAAAAAAAAAAAAAAAAAGAAAAACCTGCTCGAGGGATATCGCGTGAAACCGATAAACCGATACGGAACTCTCGACTGCTGACGATTCGATCGAGCGGAACGAGGGGGAGGAGTTCCTTCCAGAAACTTTTTCACCTATGGGCACCGAAATTTCTATACCCGCTCGAATGGAAACCGGTCGTAAAAATATTAGAATATTTTCGCCGCTATAAAAATATTCAGAAATAAAATGCGTCTCGTTACAAGATGTAAAGATATTCGTCGAAGAAAATTCTTTATTCAGTCTGAAATTTTAATTTTTATAAAGTTTGGTTAATTCTTGACTGATGATAGATTTTTAAATGTTTGCTCATTTGCGATGAATGTGTAATTGATTGATAATGTGGAGATATATATATATTTCTGAATCAGGCTGTACACACAATTTTCATCGCGTGATTAAAAATGTAAAAGGCAGGGCAGTGATTTCGAAATTTATATCCGGATGGATCGATATTACGGAGTAATGATACACCTGGATCGATTCTTCGACGAGAAAAATTGCTGTCTCGAAGGGGTGAGATTCGAAATAGGTTGATCTCTATCGTTTAATTCGAGCCTTATTTCACGAGTGGATTATTATATAGGCTATACAGGCTCGGAAGTAAACTGTATAACAGCGGTTTTGGTTTAACACCATCGATGGAGGAAAATTGAAATGTTAAATGGATGGGTTTAAAACGTTTCACTGGCTGTTTCGAGGGTGTAAAATCGCGGTGTACGTGGTTTTTGATTTATTTAACAGATTTGAAAAAGCGACATTCAAACACACCGACATGAAATATACACGGCCCCATTGATTAAAAATTATTTGCATTAGCAACGATTATTCACAATTATTCACAATTTATGTGAATAATTATTTTTTTTAATTTATCAGATTAATTTATCAGACAAATATAATAATAAACAGGTAAAGGAAACAATTTGGGAAAACACGTTCCAATTTTCCATTAATAATTCCATTCTAATCTCAAAAAATATACCTTTCTTCGATAATCGATAAACTTTCCAATATTTCCTTCGTTTCATCAAATCTCTACAACACCTTGAAGGCACGACGCTTCCCCACCGTGAGACAATAGCGAAGCAACGCTCAGTTAGCTCAACTAATAATCGCATTCCACGGATTAACCCATAATTCAGACTTTGATTGCTCGAGCCTGCCAACTATTATCCTTTGTAATGAGTCTCGTGTAAACCGAATTGTCAGTTTACGTCTCATCGATCTCGTCAACAGGCGTGTTAAGCGAGACGAAATTCGAAACGAAAACGACGCCTTCGTGATAATTTACCCATCCGATTTTACGATTGCCCGGCCTATTTGACATCTCATTGATACAACAACCGTGAGGATCGTTTAATTAGAGAAGGTTTTAAACGTGCCGCTCAAAGTCGAACTGGTCATCCAGATAAGAGAAATATTCGTGTTTTGTTACTCAAAGGTTTCTTTTGACGAATTGTTATTGGCTACTTTACAGAGAGCGTTCGTTATTGGGTGAAACGGAACAGTTTTCCTGATTTATAACGGGAGAAGAGGCGGATGAAGAGAATGGAAGCTTGTTGGCCGATGGAATCTGACGAAACTAATATTCATTCGAGAGAGATTGCTGTTTCGTGAGAGGAGGCTGACGGCTCATTAGCTCGAGAAATCTACAGCAGGTAAAAACCTTTGGTCACTGATCAACAGCCGCTTTTTTTGGATGTAAAGGGGAATTAAGAGTTGGGATATAAATACAAGATATTTGTAAAAGTAAATTGAAACTGTACTTTTTACAACGGAATTTTTATTTTACGAGGTTGTGACGATATTTCGAAAATTCAGTACGCAATTGAAGCACGTGAAGAATATAAATAAGATAAATTATTTACCATACACTGAACAAGATCTATCGTAAAATATACGTTGTTAAGACGAAATGATGTTTCGTATATTTTTACGAAATAATAACTTTAAATTCCATTTCAAACAGAGAGGCAATAAACCCGTTGCCCAATCCTTCCTATTCTTTATACGTGGCAATAACTAGAGATAATTGGCTGCGAAAGAAATACACAGCCGTGGAACGATCGTCTTTCGTATAATTTCGTGTAAAATTGGCGATTTTGCATATTGGAGGGAAGTGGGGGCACGTTTCGTCGACCTGTTCCCACACGGTGAAGAAATTATTGCGGAGGGAATTAATTGATTCGGCAATTAGAATTCAATGAAATCGGGCGCGGCATTGAAATCGGCGATGTAATTTATAGAACCAATTTGATCTGGCCGAATCCAGATTATTGCAAAACGTCATAATTTCAACATTAACACGAAGATTTAATATCATGACCCGAAATTGAATCCCAACGAAAATTATATTATCGATTCATCTAAGAATTTATTCGTATCAAACTATATCTAACACGAACTTTGATCAAAGGAAAACACGAAAATGAAATATTATTTAAAACGAGCTAACTCGTAGAAACTCGTTTTCATTTTCTTTCGAAACGATAATTTTACGATATCCGAGAGAATAATTATAAAAAAACATTTTAGATATATCTACAAGAAGATCAAAATTAGAAAAGAAAAATATCAATCTATTTTTAAAAATCTATTTTTCCTTCTCCTGGGGATAATTTATCCCCTTTTTTTTCAAGTATACAACGCGATGGTATAAATAACCGTTAAACATCCCACGCGACTCTATCTCGATCGATCGATTTCGTACGATTGTGTATCTATCTATCTTTAAAATGTCGCGACAACGAGGCACGGCACAATATTTATGAAAATCGATATATTATAACGGAGGAGGCGGTTATCGATTCACAGCATACGAACACGATTTTCCGCCTCTCTTATATTATATCGCTAGAACAATAGCGGCAATTATACGCCATAATTATTCAACGGTTATTGTCATTATTTAAATCACGCTGCGCGGATTCGCGCGCAACACCACGACGTTCCACGTTCATCCATGGAGCACGGCTCACGCCGCAAGTATTAATCATCTCCTCCTCCTATCGTAAATCGGTGCCAATTTTTATTCATCCTTCTTCTTCTTCTTCTTCTCTGTACTCATCCGAGTAATTCTACCGAGGATTCTACCGATCCTCGATCAAACACTATTCCCATTTACGAAATACAACTCGAAATCGTTCTGGCACGAAATAACTGGTGAATTTTGCTGAACAGAATTTTTCTATTCCTTCGTTATGATTTACTTTTCACAATTCGAAGGTATAAGAAAGATGGAGCCAATTTCGATTAAAATAAGAAAGAATAATTAACGCGCGTACATTAATTATTCTCTGCTGGTGAAACCACACGATTAACTCGATTCCAAAGAACGGGAATAGAGAGAGAGAGAGAGAGACAGGAACGGGGCGCAGAACAGAGGGAAAGTGAGACGGGAATAGGTTTGTAACGCCGTTATTTGTCGACGCTTCCGTTGATTGTAGATTGGCCTGAATCGAGACGCTACCAGTAATTATGAAACTGTGAGTGTGTGTGAAACTTGGTAGCACGATTCGAGCATCGCGGAGAGAGAGAGAGAGAGAGAGAGAGAAAAACCGCGGGGGCAGGGTTAATACACCGTGAGTCGTGAGCATCGAGAAAGAAAGAGATAGAGAGAGAGAGATGTACGTGTACGGGAGGGAGAGAGTAAAACGTCAAACAACAAGACCTCTACATTGTGTCGTTGCTGGCATTGATACCAGGCTGGCCGTGTCATTGACGTTGCGTGGCGGTGCGGCAGGGCGAGGATAGGTCTACAAAATATCGGTGCTGTTTGATCAGCTCGCCCATTTACTCAAATGGCGTGAAATTCAACAAAGCTGCCGAGTGGCACTGGCCACCGCCACCAACCCATCGAATATCCGTGCGGCCAAAGCCCCACACCGATGATGCCCGCCGCCATCCATGGACCTCCACCACTTCGCGCCATTCGCGAAAGACCGTCTCTTCGATCGTTCAACCCCTCGAGCGCCCTTTTAAACCACCGCCAAATTCCATCTCGCCCTCTCTCCCCCCAGCTGATTAAGTGCCTCTGCCCGGAGATGTAAAATTTCTGGTCCTGGAGTATGAAAATGAAATGCTCCCTCCTTCCTGCCCCGAATCGAATACCTGTTTTTTATGCTATCTATCTACGCAAAGCCTGTTTTCTTGCTGCTCTCCAGGCCGACCCTGTTTCGTGGGCGCGAAATTTTTCGAGCATCGAGCTTTCGAAGGTTGGGGGTTGGGGAGCAATCGACTGCTCGTTAGCGCGCCACGAGGTAATCCTCGGGCCGTCGAATTGCGGTAATACACGGAATTTCTATGTACTCTCACGCGTGATGTTTTCATTTTCACGGTGGAGGGTAAATTGGAACAATTTGCAAGTTGATGGTAAATGTAAATTGAGAGGTTGGAGAGAGGGAGAGGGAAGATGGTGGGAGAAGTATGGTGCAATTGTAATCAGATCCTTGGCGCTTCCCTCCCCTTTAAACTGCGCGTGTGCAATTCGGTATGCATCCAGTTCACTCATATTCCGGACGTATTTCCTCACTTCGTTTGCTCTGTATCGTTTACAACGCGAGTATTAAAAATCTTATTAATTTCCTCTCCTTCAGTCT